CTGCCCCTGCCCCTGCTCTCGCGATCGGTTGCGCCGTCGCTGCCGCATTCGCTGGAGCTGTGATGGTCCTATAGACTGAGCTGCCCCTTTGAGCTCTCTACCCTCGCGCGGTCAAGCCGTGGCGCTAGCACGCCTCGTGGCTTCACATTTCTTTTCAACTATTTTCCCCACGTCTCGCATCCCGTCATCCTGCTCACTCTCGTAATGCCTCGCTATGCGCTCCTACCTCGAAAGCCGCTTTGCACTACTCTTCGGTTCTGTCGATGAAGCTGCAAAGCGCTTCTTCTCGCCAACTTATGACCGCCTGCAACCTCGCCCCCATGGACTTTGTACACGTCGATCGATCGACGACCTACTTTGCAAGTTTGAATGACATCACGCTCGCATCGACCGAGCGCATTCTTTCCTTGTTCAACGGAATCGTGCAGGCATGAGATGCTGAGCTGCTCTCGGGCGTCTTTGAACCATTCGTGACCTTCGCGGGTGAATGTTCGGGCATCGACTGACATACACGTGCACACGCGGAAGGGGGGGCTACCAACGCTTCTAGCTCGACCCTCGCACGAATCGTCATATCACTTGGTGAAGATTGAGGAAATGTAACGTCCTACTTGAATGTGCGAACGAAAGATGGAAGACGACTCTCAGCTGGGACATTTCTGGGCAACAACAAAGACCGCAGCGTCCACTTTGTCTGACTTGCTTGCGCATCGCTCGCAAATCATCAGCCAGTCATTGCCGTAGCTACAATCGGAACTCAACAGATTTGCGGTTGACGTTCACATTGTTCTCATTGTGATTTGCAGATTTGAGGGCGTCAAATCTGCTCTACAGAAGTGTTGTTGAGTCACGATCGTGACTGTATGATAGATGTCCGCGTTCGGTTGAGTGAGCTTAATTCTTGATTGATTGAGACTTGGCGCCTCCGATCCACGACTCACTTGCTGTGGCTTTGTAATGTCAGCCAGCTACACTCACACTCGCATCCACAGACTCGCTGGGGGTTGCCGTACGCATCTGCAGCGCTGTTAAGTACGCAGGTGTGCCACGAGTCTGAATCCCGAGTCGTGAGCATTTTGACGTCGAACGCGTAGGTACTCACTCGCGAAGCAATTTCTCGCCCTTTGACCGCGTTCTGCCTTTTTT